GCAGCGCAGTTCCGTCACCAGCATCGCCCATCGCCCGGCCGGTCTCGGTCTCGGGGGGTCCGGCAGCGACATCCAAAGAACCATCAGCAATGTGGTGCCCATAGTTAGCTAAGTTGGTTTATAACTTCAATAACTATGGTTTATTGTAGATATCTATAGTTAATGGGGTTTATAAACCAATTTATAACTAGGGGGGCCCACATTGAGGAGACTTTCGGGGCAAAAGAATGCCGAAGTTTTTTGATGTTTTTTGGATGGTTTATGGATGGGTTTTTGGATGCTTTTGGCTGGGTTTTTGGATGGTTTTGGCGGGTTTCCATGGGTTTGGGATGCCTCTTTAAATATCTTGAAATGAAGATCATTAAGGCTTCGAAACAAGAAATTTTGGAAACACGTCAGCGCTTTTTCACCAAGCAAAACAGGGATGTTCATCGCATCTGCGGGGGTGTTCTCTTTTGGTTTGTCTCAAATTAGGGTACCCGGGTACCCCAAATTTGATGTTTAAATATGGTTCGCCAATAGTTCGCCAATGAAAACTTCAAACTCGTCGTTTTGGGGATATAATTACCCCATTTTCAAGGGATTTTCCCCGATATACCCCATTAAAACAAGGGTTCTTTGATTCTTATACCATCTTTGCCTTCCTCGAGTGCCACGTCTTGATGTTTCTTGCTGGAAGTCACCAAAGTCACCGAAGGCGATTTTTCTGGTCGTTGCTCCGTCATTGCCACGATTTTCTGACGAAGCTGGAGGGGTCCTGGAGTGTGAAATTATTGTACAATAATGGATGGAACTAGATGCTAGCCACCAGATGTTATTGTAAATATGACTGTCAAATTATTGTTCCATCTACTAGCATCTTCTAACCACCAGACATAGATGGAACACATCCGTCACTTCCGTCGCCTGGGGCCCCGACTTTGAAACGAGACGAGTTGGACAGAGCACTTTGGCCCCAAAGTCATTGGATCCACGGAACCCTTTGGCTCTTTGAGATACCAAAATTGTGGGGGGAAACCCTCCAGCTGATCGGAATTCTGACTCAAAAAGTGTTTACTCAAAAAGCAACAAGATCCAGAAGTCAATGGGTCATTGGTATTCATTGGTCACTATTTTCCTGGGATTTCACGATTCTATCCTTTTTTGATAATTTTGGGCGGATGAATAATATACGTGGCTTACGAAAATCCAGCACAACTCACCTCCAGCTGGTTAGGATTTCCAAGCAAACATGGATTCCTATGGGATTGTGATAATCTCCAATATATAAAAGATTCGTAACTATGGAAAATCACCATCTTGTAGCTGGGTAAATCAACTATTTCTATGGCCATGTTCAATCGTTTTTTGTAAGTTTACCGAAGGGCAACTATTAACCATTAACCATAGATTATCCATACATTAACCATGGATTAACCATTTATAGATGGTTCACCAAAGGGTCAACCATAATCATTCACCAGGGTGGGTTGAACACTGCTGTCGCCCAAAAAGGCGTCTTGAGCCGATGCTTGGGACATCTTGGAACTTGGATCCCCTCCCATCAAACCTTTAATACCCTGTCAACAAGCATTATTTGCAGTACGGAATATCTGCGTGTATATCTCATATTTGTATATATATATATATACATTCCTCCATCAAGATAGCACTAAAAACACAGACATTAATCTACCAACGACGGATTTCTACAGAAGTGTCTACCTCAGACAAAATCAACCCGGGCCACCAAAATCCCATGGTGCAGCTTGCAAAAGGCAACCAAAATCATGTGGCATTTGAACGCAACCAAAATCCCGCCCGTCTCTGTATATTAATAACCTCCTAGAATCCTAGAACCCTCTGATTTAGTGCTGGATATATTTTCGTTGGGGTCCATTTGTTCTGAGTATTTAAAAGACTACCTTCAGGTAATCAAACATGGAGGAAAATCCGCAGTTAGTTCCAGGATCTTTTTCTCATTCATCTTAACCTGCAGCACACTGCATTTGACCGGGATTTCATAGAATCAGAATCCCAAGATCCTCTGGTGCCACCCCACGAATCATAGATTTTACCCGGCCTGGTAAACTAACCAAAAGCTATGGTTTGAATGGCCATAGAAATAGTGAGTTTTCCCATGAAAAATGGTGGATCTTTCCATAGTTACGTCAGTTTACCAGAGGGTAAAGTGCCACCACAAAAACATCCTCTTGGCAGCTTCCAAAAGATCCTGGCAGAGTCTACCCCAACAGTTTTGGACCTGAAAAATCCACACCTCCAAAGGTCAACAGCACCCCCCCTGGGCATGAACTACTCATAAGTGGGTGTGACCAAACAATAATGCGTATAATATCCCAACCCTTTGTTGGTTCATATCAATATTTATATATATATATATATGTGTGTGTGTGTATATGTGTGTATATATACATATTTATATATCAATTATATATCCAGATTGTTTGAAATCATGTTTGGTTCCCATTATGCTATGGCTATGGGCCTGGAAACTGATCGGTATGGTAACTCGACTCATCCCAAACATTTTCCCCAACCATCACCGCCAACGCCCCCCCTTCAGGGAATGGCGTAGCCGTCGCGAAAACGTGAGACGATCCATTCCGAAATACTCCGGCATTTCGAAGACTGGGAGCCATGAACTTTGGTTCAATCATATCCTTTTGGTACAATGTGGTACCCCCAAGATAGCTAAGTTGGTTTACAACTCCCATAACTATGGTTTATGGATGTTTATGGTACTTATAACTATAGTTATTGGGGCTTATAAACCAACTTATAACTGGGGGGCCCCACATTGTAAAAATATTTCGGGGCCGGTTTGTGGTTAATCCATGTTAATCCCATCTATCATCATAGAAAGCTGTTGTTTTTCAGGGGGTTCAACAAAGCCCTCTTTTCTCATCAACCAACCAATGGGAATTTGGGACATCTAAGCTTTGGTTCAGGCGGACCCTTTGGTCAAACATGGCAAAAATCCACCATGGGGACATTTTTGTTGGGGGAAGATCATCGACATCAATGGGTGATTGTCCGGCATGCCATGTTTGATTCCCAGAGGATCTAAAAGTAACAAACTGGAACTTCCCACAAATCCGTGGCAGCTCGTCATTTTTCTCGCAAAAAAAAAATAAAACATGAACCATGAACGAGTATCATGAAATCATGTATCATAAAGGTGGCCATTCCATTTCCTTCAGCATGGATTTTTCGATGTTTCATGGCTCCATTCCATTTCCTTCACGATAAAAAACTGGTTGGTGGTTTCAACCCCTCTGAAAAATATTAGTCAGATTGGATCATCCTCCCAACTATTGGGGAAAATAAAAAATGTTCCAAACCACCAATCAGAAAACCATGGATGTTTCATGGCTCCCAGCTGAAAATGATCACGTCCAAATCTCCACGCCTCGGTCGCAACAAACATCCGAGGTAGCGCTGAAAAATGCCCATGGATATTCCCATGAGACCCGGCCTGGTAAACTAACAAAAAGCTATGGAAAGATCCACCATTTTTAATGGGAAAATCCACTATAAATGATCCATGTTCCATAGCTATGTGACAAATTACCAGAGAAAATCCCATGGTTCCATATGTAGCATTTTTGCCGGTTAAATCCACGAAAAAACCCGAAAAAAGTGAGCTGGAAATCATGTGCAGCTGCCCCATGAAGATCCACATCGAGACGGCTGAAAATCCACCGGTTATAGCTACCAACATCATCCATCTAGCTGAATTCCAATCTCAACCCCGGATAAAAATGAAGCCCAATATCATTTCATATACACAGATTTCTAGTGCTTGCAATGTCTTAACATTGAATTTGAAGGTTTTGTTTTTTTGGGTTTACCACTGGCAATACCCCATCTTCTCCGGGAAACCGCTGGCCACTCAGTCACATGTTTAAAGCTCAAAGTCAGTATATATTATTATAAAATCATGTTACCAAATACAATATCAATCAATCAACAAACGATTAGAAAAAACCATGGGTTTTACCTTAAATCTCCACCCGACGCCCCGTGTTTTTTCTCGCGAATCTCCAGCGTTCGCTCGCCGGCTCTCTCCCAGACCGCCCCCTCGCGCAGCCGCTGTGCCCGCTGCCGCAGCACCGGCACGTCGTGCGGCAAACGCCAGCGCTGAGGCTGCTCGCGGAACTCGAACTGGCCTCGGTACCGGGCCAAAATGCTTGGTCTAAGCGGGAATTGATAAGAATGGTGATGTGATGCCCCATGATTTCCCAGCAACATTTGGATTTCGGTGAAAATTGTAATTTAACCAACAACAAAATGAGATTTGTATACATCTATGTACTAAAATAAATGATGGTTTTACTGACAAAAGATTGGATTTCCCCTGTGTAAGCAACAAAAACGAGGATGTAAGGATAACAAGTTGATGATGGGATGTAGTCTGATGGCTATTTTGAACTAGGCCAGGTGCAGTTACCAGCTAGCCACCCCCCAAAAAGACTTAGCAAAAGATCGAATTTGCCATTATTTTTAGTGGGATTATACCAAATTCTGTCTTTTTGGGAGTTGCTATGTATACCCAGTCAAATGATGATAAAGAGGAGACTAAGAATTACAACAGGATTCAATAATGTTGCGTCAATGATGTCTCATAGTTGAAATTCCAAACTAGGATTAAGTAAATAGCATATTAATGACCACAGAAAGCATACTAAATACTATGGATCAATCACAAAAAATGATCATTTTTATCCCTACTAATAATGAAACACCACAATGAACAAACACAGATACGTAGTTGATACGTAACCTTGAATAAACCCACGATGCGTCTGTTTAAAGATTGTAAACTTCTCCCATCACAATCGTCATCCTGGATCCTCATCATGCTTGCAACCACCGAGCAGTACAAAACGAAGAAAACTAGGGGTTAACTCAATTTACCCTCTGGTAAACTAACATAACTATGGAAAATCACCATGTTCAATGGGCAGTTCCACTATAAATGTGCAATTTTCAATATATATTTTTTTAAACATAACCAGAGTGTACTTCAACTCAGAACTTTACCAACTACCAATGTGTGCGTGTCTGTGCCACCAACAAATCATCCTCAACAGCTGCAGTGTTGGCTGCCAAACTTCCAACACAAAAATCGCTCAATGACGTGTAAAAACTCCTAAAAAAAACCGCCCATTGAAACGTGGAAAAGATGTGGAAAAATGATGTTCTCATCCACTTATTTAAAAAAAAATGGGGGTGCTGTTCCCCGAAATCTTCACGTATATGACCTCTGGGCTCTTCGACCAAGTTGCAGCTCCATTTGCGGCAGCCGCTGAGACTGAAGACGGCGTCGAAGAAGCCCACGGGAATCTCCCTCAGCACCGTGGTGAGTTTGGGGACCCTTTAATGATCCGTGAAGTCAATTATTCATAAGTCTAGCAGGCCCAAAATAGATCGAAAAGCGAGAAACCTGGAAACACATCAGGTTTCCCAAAAATCACCGAAGTAACATCCATTGGTAGCACGATTTGGCATCTTTTTTTGGGGGGCTGGTTATCAATGGTACAGTAACATCCAGTTGGTCTTCTCTCGGTACCATCTCCATCGGATCCCTGTCATCTTGACTTCATGATCCAAGAAGCTTCCTCCCTAAACCATCCATCCATGTGTGGTTTCATATGGCTTTTATGTGTCATAAACCATCCATAAACCATCCATAAACCACCCCCATTGACCATCCATTTGGGGATGGTGACCCAATTGCAGCCCGGCTGCAGCCAGAAACACACCGAGGCGAGAAGTTCCTGAACGATTCACCGGAGATTCACTAAGTTGGAAGGAACGCATGGAGATTGACCGTAGCTGCCGTAGCTGATTTGATAGCTACCCTCTGATAAACTGTTACATAACTATGGAAAATCACCATGTTTTAATGGGAAAACTCACTATTTCTATGGCCATTTTCAATAGCTATGTAACAAATTACCGGAGGGTAAGTTGGGTATATAAAGAAGATAAAACTAGGGTGTATGATGGTGTATGGCCGATATATCGTTGGATGAAACTAAACTAAACTAGCTTGTAACTGGAAAGCGCCACCTTGCCATCAAAAAACATGATCATCCAGTAGGTGTTCCCCAACCACCAGGCAACCCTTCCTTCTACCAACGTGGTCCCTTGTACGACTTGATACGACTTGTGGCTTGGTTTCTGTTCACCCCATCACGTATAGTTCGATATACCATACACCCAATCCCAATTGTCTATAACATCAATCAATTCCATACTATGTCACTACAAATCTCGGGATCTATCTTTTTCTGGCTGAAATCACCCAAAAAAAAAAAAAACGGTGAAATCCACCGCGGTTCCATCCCCACCCCATCCCCACCTCTGGTTCCAGGTAGGGCTGCCAAATGACGCCCTTTCGCAGCATCCACCAGCGCCCAAAGTACGCCTCCGCCCACTGCCGCGGCACCGTGCCGTGCCAGTCGTTCATCGCAAAAAAGCCCTCCTGTCGGTCACAACGAGGGAGGCTTCAGGGCTTGGATTTTCGCCGGTGTTTCTTGGGGTTTCACCAGAAACTGTGGTTTAACCATGGTTTAACCCGTAGAAATGAGGATTTCACCAAGAAAGTTACGATTTAGCCAACACAAATGTGGAGCCAACAGAAAGCCCCAAAAATTGCCATGATACAGGAATGATGACATCCAAAATGGATGTTTTACGGCCCTTTTAAAGGGGTGGATTTCTGGGGCCTTTTGTTGGCAGAAAAACCATTGGTATCGAAGCCACCATTTTGCCGGAACATCATGGGATTACCCTGGAAAATCTATGGAAATGTGGTGATTAGACTCGAGAAAAAACTGCCAACATATTAACATGACAGATGGATTTGGTTATAAATAGCGAGTGTTTTTGCGCTGTTAATTGACAGAAATGGCACTAATTGATCCCTACCCACTCATATTCAAGGCATTCCACCTTGCAGAACCTTGAGTATTGGATCGATTCATGAATTCAGGTCCCAGTCCTGGACTGCATTTCATATTACCATCTGGCTATGACATTCACAGTTTGCCATGAAAGATCCACCATTTTTCATAGGTAAACCATCTATTTCGATTAGGGCCATGGCTTAACCATGGCTATTTTGACATATCCAGAGGGTAATAATCTTAGGGGGAAAGGATTGACTTGGATGGACCGTCCGGTTCTGTCTATCAACAACCAGGTGGTGCAACAAATATGGACGGTACGTATTAAAAGGCCGCTTTCTTCAAGGCCGCACAAAGGAAAAAAGAGAAAAAGACAATCTCACTCCAAGATTTTTGGATGTATATATATATATATAGTCAACAAAAATTAGAGACAAATCGGAAAAAATCGGACAAAAAATGGACAGAATCAATAAAACACAGGTGGCTTCGGAGGCACCTGGGTCCAAAGCATTGGTGGTTCCACGACGTGGCTTCTGAACCCACCAGTCCCACCAATCGATGGGCCATGTGAGTCAGATTGAGTCAGCTAAGTCAGCTTTCTCCATTGGTTGGTTGATGAAAAAAAGATGGGGTTCTTCAGAAACCCCTTTAACAACAGGTTTCTATGATGATAGATGGTATACCAGCTCCCGGCCCCTCTATTTTTACCAAAAGGACATCAAATTGGATACTATATGATACTATATATGTTAGGATTATACTGGGATACCATTTTTTTTGTTGATGTTAGGATACTGTTGATAAGGCCAAACATATGGTACTAACGTACCCCATATCTGTTGGATCCTGGAGATCTCCCATGGATTTAACCCGCCTTGTGCCCTTGCGCCGCCGCCAGTGGTACCGTCCAGATGGTGTTTGGAGGCTCCAAGAGATGCAAAGGCGGATGATTCGCCACCTGCAAGAAGAGACACCCCAAAAAAAACATCGGGGCTGGTTGGTGGTTGAGCCCTACCCCCTGAATAAGTGGTTGGTTAATGGTTAATAATGGTTAATAGTGGTTGATCATTGGTTAATCATTGGCTAAAACATAGGCTGGTTGGTGGTTGAGCTTCCCCTCTGGCATTGGCTGTGTTGGTGGCAGCGAGCATGAGAAACGGTACCGGCGCTACAGGCTGGTTATTTCCAAGTTTGACAGACTCCGGCTGCCAACGCGTGCTGCAGAGTGCTTCACAAGGCTCCCCACTGAATAAGTGGTTGGTTCATGGTTAATAATGGTTAATAGTCTATAGTGGTTAATGAGGGTTAATCATTGGCTAACCACATAGGCTGGTTGGTGGTTGACTTCCCCGCTGGCATTGGCTGTGTGTGGTGGCAGCGAGCATGAGAACGGTACCGGGCGCTGCAGGCTGGTTATTTCCAAGTTTGACAGACTCCGGCTGCCAACGCGTGCTGCAGAGTGCTTCACAAGGCTCCCCACTGAATAAGTGGTTGGTTCATGGTTAATAATGGTTAATAGTCTATAGTGGTTAATGATGGTTAATCATTGGCTAACACATAGGCTGGTTGGTGGTTGAGCCTACCCCCCTGAAAAATGATGGAGTGAAAGTCAGTTGGGATGATGACATTCCCAACTGAATGGAAAGTCATAAAATTCATGTTCCAAACCACCAACCAGTAAATATTATCAGGGGGGATGGATCAATCAGTTTGATAAATCATATGGAGAAATATGAATAGTAAGAATAATAAATCAGCATCGTGAAATAACGAGATCAACGTCACCAACCCCAATTTATTTCCCGAGCGTTCAAGACGAGCCACCCAAATGAGGTCCAGGCGACTGTATATCACCCAACCTGCCGAAAAGACGCGCGCGAGTTATCTGGAAGGAGGCGGGGTAGCCTCTGGAAAATTTTCCTTGACCATGAGAAAACCCCGCAAATTGAATGGGATTTTTGATCGAAATAGTACAAAAATGAATGTTTCTGTGTGGAATGTAGGATGCATGATTATGAAAAGGCACCGAAAACTTGAAGAAAGTAATGAGCAATCGATGTTTCTGTGATTTACCATTGCCGGGCTCAAAAAATGGGGAGAAGTGTTCAACCCAAAAATGTAGCCAGCTGATTCCAGGTTCCTTTGTCAACCCCAAATCAAGGCTGAATCCGGGACAGCTCTTGGAAACAGTGCTGTCCGCCCGAAAATATTCCGAAGAATTCACCAATTACCCTCCGGTAAACTAACATAGCTATTGAAAATGGCCATTTATAGTGGATTTTCCCATCAAAAATGGTGATTTTCCATAGCTACGTTAAATTACCAGAGGGTAAACCTCAAAAAAAGTACATGGTTCCATCAGTGATACTTCCGTCAATCCAAAAAGCATAAATGTCCCATCACCGAGATGTATATGTCCCATCACTGAGATTATACGTATAAATTTCCCATCAATGATCTTTCCATTGACGCCCACCCCATGCCCATCATCCGGACAAGCTGCGGAAGCGGCGCCGGCGCTTGCGCTCGTAGCTCTTCGTCCTCAGCACCGTGCTGGGGGTGCAGTGCTGGCCATGTGGGACGCCCAATTATCCATAACCATCCCATTAACGCACCATTTGGGGGTGACTTAAAATCATCCCAAATAGGGGTATAATATGGTATAAATACCCCACTGTCGAAAAATATCAGAGATGGTTCCAAGTTATAATGCCTATTACCATGGTAGTCGCCACCAGTTGGCCCAAGTGATCGCCCGAAGATCGCCCAAGACGCATTTGCCAAACGATCTGCATCTTCCGCAGGGAATGCAGCTGCCCACCCAACTTGTTCCGCCGCAGTGGCGAGATGGCACCGCCCCCAAAGGTCTCCTCGGCTGAGTGGAGAAAAATCGGAAAAATAGGGAAAAAAACACAAAAAAAACAACCATTTCTGGATGATCAAAAGCATTTACATATGATTTAGATGACCTACCACCATTTATAGATATGTACATCTGATTTAAAAACATTTATGGATGATTAACAACCATTTGGCGTTGATTGGAAGCCCTGTGATCATTTACTTGCCTTATCTTCTCTCGTCCAATCTATATATCTAATCTGATCTATCTAAACCCGATTTAGAATCCAATCTAATGTATCATCTCATCCATTGGAGTTTATCAATCAGCCATCTATGTGATCTAATCATCTTTATTTATGGTAAATCTCATCCTGCTGGGGAAGGTCCCATCATATTGACTAATCCATCTAATCTTATAATTGATAAATATCCCATGGATGAGATGATAGATTGATAAACATATATAAATATCCAGAAGGTCAGCTATAGCTATATAGTTCTAATCTAACTATAGCGGAGTTATAGGTCCAATCATGGCAATAGAATTATCCATGATTGACATCATATCATATAGTTCTAATCATGGCATAGAACTATCCAATGGAGCGGAGTTCTAATCATATCATACCCTCTGGTAAACTAACATAGCTATTGAAAATGGCTATTTATAGTGGATTTACCCATTGAAAATGGTGATTTTCCATAGTTATGTGGCAGTTTACCAGAGGGTATCATTCCTATTCTCATCCCATCCATTGCCGAACTCCGCTCCCCGTCCCACGCTTTACGGCCACGGCCGTGGCGGCCACGGCACGTAGAGCAGCAGCGCCTTGGGCGCGATGGCCTTGCGCAGCTCCGTGTCCCGGAGGTCCCGCAGCCAGCGGAAGCCTGGACCCGTCGATGGCTGTTGTAATAGGGGGGGGTGAATGTCAACCCCGATTAATAAACGTGGGGGTTGGTACTAGGGGTTTATCAATTAGGATAATTAGGGGTGTTGTATCATAAAGGGTTGACATTAGATTAGTATCATTGTTTTTTTTGTTTATGAATTAGGGGGGTATTCCCCGAATAGTCATGATTTGATACTTTTTTATGGTACCTTCCCAGTTAAACAGCCGTAAATGGGGTTTATTCATCCAGGGTTGACAAGTTGACAGTATAGATTTATCGTGAGAAATAGAATGATAATGGGATAATATGATAATAATGATAAATTACTATAATGGGGCTTTATATTAAATTCCTATGATGTTATTATAGATTATAGATTTATCTCCTAATGCTGTTATTATGCTATTTATAAGCCATTTGTAATGCGACAATCTAGGAAAAATAGAGATCAGACATTTATCTTTGGATTTAGTCATCCTAATAGAATATGATATTTATAAACCATTTAGAATGGGATAATCTATAAATTATGAAAAATGAATGTGATAATTAAGGATAATGATGACATTTGTTGAAGTCATTTATAATAAGCCAATCATCATTATTATCCCATTTGTTATGATATGCATAAGCCAAAATGGTGTTATTAAGATAATATTGGGATTACAAAAACGATAAGCTCCATTTATAGGTGATTATCATCCTAATGTTGTTATTATTATGACATGTATAAGCCATTTAGCATGGGACAATATATTAACTATGATAAATGAACTGGATTACAAATATTACATATAATGATAATGGGATACAATGGGATTCTACTATCCCATATTATATCTCATCATATCGGGAAAATGGGATTACACCGGGATATTGTAGGCCCTAATGTTGTTATCATTCTGATAATCCATCATTTGAGGGTAGGTGATGTTCCCATTAAAACCCCATTTAGAGGCGATTGTCATCCTAATGTTGTTATTTGTGTAAAAATAACTAATGGGATTACATATATTACTGTATGATGATCATAAGCTTATTATGGCTTTGTATTATAAAGAATGCCATTATTGTACTGGAATATCATTTAATATTGTTATATATTCATAATCTCCATAGCAAGCCATAATGGGATTATAATATTTAAAAAGAAAGTAATGGTATCATAATAATCATAAGGTTATTATGGTTCTTCATGGTTTTTATGCTCATCTTTGACATACGTATCGTATCAGTGATAAATCCGTTCTTCTAATAAATGTGTACTATGCTACTAATCATGCTGGATGGCTCAATCCCAATGGCACGTTCTTGACATATTTGAGGTATCTTCAGTGTCGATCCTATTTGATAATATCAGGTAGTGGCCCAGCGATCTGGTTTTACTCTGGCCATATACTATATAGCTTTTTGAATAGAGATGATACCTTCCCTACCAGGCTACCAGGTTTAGTCACCCTCCACGGAATTTATAACCCATTTTGCTAACGATCGTATGATCCATTTAAATGGTTGGATTGTTGGATGGGAAAATAAATATAATAATAAATAGATATATACATATATTATATAATTATACAGTATATGAGAATTCAACCAACCCTCAGGTTGGTGACCCCCCAAAAATGATATGTCAAGATTCAACCGGTTGTCGGGGATGAAGAAGCCATGATATCAAAAAAACATTTGGAACCTGCTGGTTGTTGCTATCAAATATCTTTTCTGTTTGGACATTTATATTTTAATCATTTTTAATCAACATATGAGGTTGTGAAAATATTGGCTATCTAAAACACTATTGATAAATTTTAATCAACATACGAGGTTGTGAAAATAGTGGCTATCTAAAACACTCTCTCAAGAATTCGTATGTGACCCTATCCATAGCGCTGGAACCGCCCGGTTTTATCTCAACCACGCTTCAGGAGTCCGGGGTTGACATGGCATGGTCCTGAGAATGTTTTGGAGGTTTTCCATGTTTTTTCCCATCATGTTCAGACCATATTTTGAAGGTACAAAATCGATGGTATTCCCGCAGTCTCCCATATTATCTACGCAATATTCCCAATATCTACTAGATATCTACCATTTTTGCTGGTTAACTCCACTCTGAACTTCTTCGTTTCGGGAAGTTTCCGTGTCCTAAACCCATAATAACACATATCCCCCATTAACAAATAGGGTCATCCCGTTCTCCCGACCGATCAGAATCGTCAACTTCTCCTATGGTTTTGTGTATCTTAAGTGAGGGAGAAAAAAAACATAGGGCCTAGTTGAACTAGTTGATTCCCCATAAAGGCGCGCTTGGAAGCGCAGTTCCAATTGTAAGTGGAAACATTTCATAGTTCTAGAGGTTATATCCCAACAACTGGGGGACTAACTCACCATGGTTCTACCATGGTCATACCGTCATACCATTGAACCCGTAAAAGTGACTTCAACTGCACCCCCCACCGTAGAAACCCCCAGTTTTCACCTGCCAGGGCAGGGAAGAACTTCTTCATCCGCTGCCGTTCCCGCCAGCCGCTGCCACCGCCTCCGCTCAGCGCGCAGAGCACCGTGGCGCTCAGCGGCCGCACCATGTGCCGCGCCAGCGAGGCCAGGGTGCGTTCCTCGTAGCGCCAGGAGCCGGCGAAGAGCACCGCGACGCCTGCGCTGTCATGACATGACTGGAGGGGAGAGTTCACAAGCCACTTACCCTCTGGATATGTCCAAATAGCCATGGTATAGGTGGCCCATAGAAATAGATGGTTTACCTATTAAAAATTGTTATTTTCCATGGCAAACTGTTAAATCACCAGATGGTAAGAGGTGATGTGAGAGAAATGGGGATTTTACTGCCACAGTGATGATTTGACCAACGAAAAAGTGATGTTTTCACCACCAAACATCAGGAGCTCTTGGCCACAAGAAGTTGGATTTAACCAACAAAAATGCGGGAAGTAAACAAAAAAAACAATTGAGTTTAGCTAGGAGAAATTGGTGAATGGTGGTTTTATGGTGGTTTGTCATGGAACTTGGGACTTAAAAATGAAAAATGATTCAAAGTGGAGTTGCCTCAAACATATATCTAAAAGACGAAGCATGACGGGGATAGAATGAGGATCTAATTGGATAGATATATATATATATATATATACACATAACCAACAATACGAGAGGTGTTGTTTCCCCAGAAATGGGGCATCGAATCTCAATGTTGTTTGAATGAAGAACATCATCAACCATTAGGTTTGGGGGGTGCTCAATTTTCAGACAAACAAACCCGCAGGGAACTTGGGTATACGCCATTTAAAGGATGAATTTCAGCATCAAAAAGCAGGTTTAAGCATCAAAAGATATAATGGGGATCACACCCTCCCAAGAAGTGGTGTTTTTGTGTTTGGTCGGCAGGCACGTGTTGTTGATTATGTGCATAAGTTAAGTTTTTAACCTACCCACGCAAGGGGTGGGTGCCGAGTTTATGAAACAGGTGGGAAGATCCGGGAAATTCAACAAACATTAACAGAATCTTGGAAAAAAATCCCGCCAAAAACCAAGCTGGCAACTCCCCATGTGGCAAAAACAAATCTAACCGGGGCGAAAATCCAACAGGCAGCTGGAGGATGGATCTTTTGAAAATAGAGGACTGTCCAGTGTAGGGTTGAATTCCAAGCAAAAGTTCTTTAAATCCAGCAAGCTGTTCGGTAGGTTGCACCACGGAGCATATCCTCATCTCATGGTCGTTGATTTTTAAACCATTTTTTGCTGTTCCTTCGCCATTTTATGGTAGTTCAACCATCAACCCCTAAGTGCTAGCAAAACCTGCTGATAAAACTGACCTAAACCTGCACTTTGGCAGCTCAAAACCATACTCAAAGTTGCTCTCAATGTTGCTGCTAAAATCATTTGAAATCATCCAAAGCATTCAAAAATACACCACATTTGTTCACTCCAAACCTTTCCCCCAAAGTTTTCCCAGTTTCGACCCACCTCCCTGCCCTTCACTGCTCGGCCGCAGCGGTTTCGGCTGCGGCTGGGGCAACGTGGCGAAGAGCACCGAGGGCCCAAAGATTTTGGCCCCGATGGGTTCCGGCTGCAGGAACCACATGGGCCACGGCGGCAGCTTGCCACTCCTTTCAAGCGATGTGGGTTTATTGTTTGGGAATGCAGTTCCACTGAAAATGCCTATATATATATATATAGGCATATTATTCATAGATATTCATAGTATACCGAAGTCATATCAAGGTTATTTATATATAAAATGTGTATACATATGTATATATATATATATCTGTGTGTGTGTGTCTGTGTGTGTGAGTATGTGTGTGTGTGTGTGCGCGTGCAAATACATACATCTATCTACCTATCTATCTATCTATCTATCTATCTGTCTATCTATCTATCTATCCATCGATCTATCCATCGATCTATCGATCTATCGATCTATCGATCTATCGATCTATCGATCTATCGATCTATCTATCTATCTATCCATCTATCCATCTATCTATCTATCTCTTTACATATATAATATATATATATATATTTGTTTATTTATTTATTTACGGGGGTTCAGACAAGGCGGTGCTCCATTGCTAGCTAAGATGGTGAACATAACTCAAATTTCTAGGTTTGGTGTATGATACATACCTAGAACAACCGAGGCAGCAAAAATTATCTACGTTTGGCTAAAAATTAACTTTTGGAGGGGCCCCCTCAAACGGAGCTTTTTTGATGAGATGGAAGTTGTGGATTTTGGATTGTTCCAGCAAATTGTGATGTTTTGAGTGGAATGGGATTCTCTCAGTTCCACAGGTGTGGGGGGGGACTTCGCCACATGAAGAACGCATAACTCATGCGTCCAGCTTGAAAATCTCTACCAAAAAGTGACAAATGAAACGGCATAAATTCCCAACCAAACGGCGTAAATTATTTTGGTGGTTTTCAATGCAAATTTGGACTTTGACATGCTACATATCTGCCCATGTTCCCCAGGGTGTGTAAATATCAGAAAAGCGCGAAAATGCAAGAATGGCAGCTGACGCAGGAAGAATCCCGCCAAATAGTTAAATAGTTGAAACGGAAGTTTTTGGCTGAGGCGGCAGAAATTACTGAAGCGACAATAATTTCTTTAGCCTGGGCTGGCAGAAGAAATTTTACCCAGCCGGCAGGCTTAGGTATGTCGAACTAGTTAATGGGGATTATCGAATGAAGTTTTTTCATGTCAAGCTTCCGACAATATGGACAGATGGAAAAGCAGAGGTAAGAAGAGTCAGAGAAGAGAAAGGAAGAAGAAGATCAGAGAAGAGAAAGAGTCAGAAGAAAGAAGCTCCAGGTGCGAGAAAAGGTGGAAAAGTCGCGAAACACTGTGTTTTTTTCAATGCTTGTGACTCCGGAGGGTCGAAAAGTAGGCTCGCTAAAGCGGCGGGTGCGGAGCCATCTGGTGAGATGAGAAATCAAAAATTGCACGCCCTTGTGGCACAAAGCAGATTTGGAAGTGAAAAAAAAAAAAGCCTCACGTCCGGAGCACTTTTGGAAGTTGAGATCGAAAAAATGCACGCGGCTGTGGCGCGAAGCCCATTTCGAAGTCCAAACGTGCAAACAGCTACAACTACATTACAACTACAACTACAACTACAACTGCACTACACCACAATACATCCAGCAGTTGTGGTTGAGGTGACCACTGCAACCACTCCAAAAGCACAACTCCAACCACCTTTCGGTCCATCAGTGGATGCGCCCTGCCATCCATGCATCATCACAACTCACCTCTCCTATAGTTTCCTATCTTTGAAACTTCCGCCACCGCCTTGTGCGGTACTATTGGTAAGCCAACTGGCTTAGGGATTTTCACCAATTGTTTAATTCAGAAATGCTGAAATTAGGCGTTTTGGGGCCCTATGTGGATGGATAGCGATCTATCGATCCATCTTTTCTTGTCTCATCTGGTCTTACCTTATCTATTTGCTCATATTATGATCCTGATTAGGTACAATATGAGGTAGCCATTACTTAACCATTGCTGGGAAATGGTTAGGGATACCTAACTATATATCATCCATCATATATGATATGGGGTTAATGGATATATCATATCACATCATACGTTCCCAATATATAATGATACCCCATATCATCTGTCATCATGCCCATCTATCATATATGATGTCATAAATGATCTATCCCTATACATATCTATATATCATAGCTGGATAATGTCATAGATGAATATATTATCTATCACATCCCCCAGTCATCACCATAAATAGGTGGTATGGTTACCACTCACAGTCATGGGTGGTTTATGGCATTGTTTTACCCACATTATTCATTAATAACTATATCATATCCCATTAATATCCCATTCATATACCATTGGTATTCATTAACCATTAGTATACCATTCATATCAGGAACATATGATACCCTATATGGGGGTTTCCATAAATGGTGGTACCCCAATAGCTGGATGGTTTACAATGGAAAATCCCAAACAAAAATTGATGATTTTGGGGTTACCCTCTGGTAAACATACAATCAACTATGGAAAATCACCCTTTTCAAATTGGGAAAATCAACTATAAATGGTCATTTTCAATAGCTATTTTGACATAACCAGAGGGCAAACCTCCATTTTCCTATGGTTTTCCTATGGTTTTCCTATGGAAACCACCTAATATATCTATCACCTTACGCCGAGCATCGCTGCCACCTCCTTTCGGAAGTTTCGATCCGAGGAGGCTGGGAAGGCGTGGCGCGGGTGCAGCGACACGTGGCTGGCGCCCTGACCTGAACGAAAAACCCATGGGGATCCCATGGGGATTCCAAAGAAGTCCAAAAATATGGCGGAAGATGGTGATTTGACCATTTCACCAGCAAAAATTGAGATTTTGACCAGGAAAATTGTGATTTGACCTCCAAAAATATGGTGATTGGACCAAAATGGTGATTTGACCAGCGAAAAATAGTGCTTTGAACCAACCAAGACTCCAAGACTTGAATTTACCTCACACATTTTAGTCTCTAATGATTGTCTGGTGCCCAAAATGGAGGCACCTTATTTGTGTATGTATGCAAGGTCGCCCTGAATTTTTAGACTCCCTTTCCGTGAATCTTGATTTGAAAACTTAAAACGGGTCGCTTAGTCACTTGGACTGAAATCATTCTAGGTCAAAATGGAAAGCAATGTGTAATACGCGTATGCCGTATGCCTTTGTATACGCACATAATCACGTATGTATCTCTATCTCTCTATCTCTCCGTCTCTCTAGATGTCTCTTTCTCTATCTGTACCTCTCTCTCTCTCCTTCATTCTACTTCTAAACTTACCCATCCCAGACCCAGCGAGAACTCCATCCCAGCGGCAGGAGTAATCCAAATAGCTCTTCTGCAGTCGGACAATGCCTCTGTGGGGTACCCTGGGTCCAACCTCCAGTGGTGGTTCAAGATCCCCCAAAGGCGGTATTTGAGAACCCAATGATCAACCCATTGACCAGAAATGGATTGGATAAAGACATACTGGTTGGTGGTATACCTACCAACCCCTCTGAAAAATATGACTTCGTCAGGTGGGATGATATGGATGATGACATTCCCAACTGAATGGAAAGTCATAATCCATTCATGTGCCAACTGCCAACCACCAACCAGATGGAAGGGTTGTAACGTATCTTACCATCCAAAATTAGCATTTTTGGCCCAGCAATTCATGGATGTTCGCGTTCGCAACGTGCGCCTTCGAGCGTTCCAGAGTGAATGAACGTGGGCGCCAGCCACTGCGACAGCACCGCTTCACTACAGGCCGTGGGCAAACACGTCAGCATCGCATGGTCTCGGCCACGAGGCGAATGGAAAATCCACAGTCAACCAGTCACCCATATGGCAGTATGTCAAAACCTTGTACCCCTGGTGAACATCAAAATAGCTGGTAAATGGATGTTCATCCCCCTAAAAATGGTATGTACAGGTATTGATCCATAGCCATATAAAGTGACTAAAAGAAGGAAACTCCACCAGAAATGTACCCGGCCTGGTAAACTGCCACATAACGAACTGGAAAGATCCACCATTTTCTAGCTGGGAAAATCCCACGATTTCGACTGGGCCATGGCTTCCAGATCGCTTTTTGGATCATTTTCTGGAGAAACCATTGGGAAAAAGTCTCGTTTTCTATGCTCGTTTGCCCCAGGAAAAAGAAAACGCAGGACCGTCAACCCCAGCACTGCTGACTTTAAGAAGCCCAAAGAAATACTTGGGGGTGCAGTTGAGGTTACTTTTTGATGCTCTTACATGATTACATGATTTTGTATTGTTTTAGGACTAATACTGGGATATTAATTGCTGGTTGATGGTTTAAACCAACCCCTCTGAAAAATATGACTTCGTCAATTGGGATGATGACATTCCCAACTGAATGGAAAGTCATTCCATCCATTCATGTTCCAGTCACCACCAACCAGTGTCGTATGTAGCAATCCCTTCCCTGCAAAAATATTTCACACCCCCTTTTAACGAATATGTTCTACCCCATGTATAAAAATGATTAAAATCCCCTACTAAACCATGGTAAAATCCCCAGATTGGATATTTTTCTGGGTGTGAAAATGTGTAATAACCAGCTACCCATGGTGAATTCACCCTCATGTTGGGATATGGGACCCCGTTAATAACTAGGCTATTGTAGTTGGTTAGATATCCACTGTTGAATCACCGGAACTGCACTTCCAAGTACCAGTTCCACTTGGGTTGGCGTTGGTTTGTCTCACCCCTTTGCGATTGCCATTTGGACACTTCTGGGTAAACTATAATAAACAATCATTCACATCATTCACCATCCTGAAAAGTCATGCCATTTTCACATAGTTACCCTCTGGATATGTCAAAATAGCTATTGAAAATGGCCATTGAAATAGTTGATTTACCCACTAAAATTGGTGGTTTTCCATAGTTTTTTCTATATTTACCAGAGGGCACCCCCTATCTTCACCAGAACTCTAGGGATGACCTACCCACGCATGACTTTGTGAACCAGCTGCAGCATGACCCCCCGGAACTTCCGCGTTTTCTGGAACGAAAAAGATGGAACAGTAAAGCATCATCAAAGATTATGGAAAATGACCATTTTTAACGGGGTAAAACTCACTATTTCTATGGCCATTTTCAATAGCTATTTCGACATAAGCAGAGGGTATATGCGTTTATCCGCTTGTCAATTTGGTGGATTCCCCCGAAACCAATGATGAGCCGCGGGCTCGGAAAAGTCAGGGCTCGCAGCCCGCAGCCGCGAGCCCAATCCATCAGTCGAAACCCAGAACTTGGAAAAACCATCACGGAAATCCAGTTGTTTTACCCAAGAAATGCTAGGGAAATACCATAAATATTACAGTTGTTGTGGGATTATCCAGTATTTCCATAGTATTTTCCCCCATAAATGCCATAAATACTATATGAAAAAATCGTCAGTTGTTTTCTAGTATTTCCATATATTTCCATAGTATTTCCATAGTAATTTCTAGTATTTCCGATGAATTATCCAGTATTCCCATAGTATTTCCAAAATCCCAACCATTTCGCCACAAAATGCCGCGCCACGTGAGTCGCCCAGTTTGGGCTCGCCCAGCAGGGTACGGTGCATCAGCAGTACCTCGACGTCTCGAATCGGTGACGGTTCGAGGGGCGATTTAAAGATGACCATCAAAGCTATGATATAATATGAAACCCATGGTGAAACCTATGATTTATGTAATATTCATCATTTAAATATATTTGAATGTTTTATCTAGAAATACTATTTTTTAATACAATTTCTTTCAATATCTATGATAAAAACACTTCTTTGGAACCATTTAATTGAATGGTGTTATCATATTGGGAGGATGGGATTACACTGGTTTGATCCGGTAAGAATCTCGTAGATGATCATAGGTATTCTGCTAGACACATTGGTGGAAATAAGTTATATGGGAACCATATGTAACAATGGATAATATGGAACCCAATGGAACAATAATTGTATACGTATGGGTCAAAAACCCATACGGATACAATAATGGTGTTCCAAAAACCAATTTGAAATGTTCCAATAATTATGTTATCAGATGTTTTTGGAACATTCTCAAACTGGTTTCCATGTTTTTTTTTGACGGATTCAACCCCGAAAAAGCCTTTTTGACAAATGGTGATTGGACAGAAACTGACACCCTGCAAAGGGGAACAAAACCCACCGTTTCATGGGGAGATGCGATGTAAATGGTCTTAAATGGATAGAATACATATTTATATATATATATCTCTCTCTCTCTCTATCTATCTATCTATCTATCTATTTATTCATTCATTTGTTTATTTATATACATCTATCTATATAACCCACAAAACATATACAATATACAACTGGTGATTTGAATGATGATAGGTGCCCCAGAGTTATGGGTGGTGTAACATACGTAGAGCTAGCGTCTGAGTTGGGATGTCCATAATCCCACGGCAATTCAGCGCGTCCCAGCTTGGAAAGTCCCAAAACGGGTGATGTTTGGAACTCCTCCCCAAAAAAAACTGGTGGTTTTAACCTGAAAAATGATGGACTTCGTCAGATTAAACATCATCATCCCAACGATTGGGGAAAAGAATCCATATAATCCATTCCTGTTCCAGTCAGCACCAACCAGTAAAAAATATCAACATGTCAAAAAACCACATGACAAAAATTCCACCATATTTCACACATTTCACATGGAATCAAAACCCCATGGCTCCCCAACATCCCAAGATGAACGCCCTCCAGGCGGCCCAAAACAAGTGGGCGCCCATCGAGTTCCAGTAGCAAGCTTTCGCAAATTGCAGCACCCGAAAACCTGCAGAAATTCTGCTGTTTACCCGAAATGTTTATTCATGAATATCTATTTTTTATATCACAATAATATCCCATTCATAACCATTGATATTCATTAACCATTAGTATATACCATTAGTAGTCATTAGTATATCAGGAACATATGATACCCTATATGGAGGTTTCCATAAATGGGGGTACCCCAATAGCTGGATGGTTTACAATGGAAAATCCCAGCTAGACATGGATGATAAATGCTGTTTACCCGAAATGGTAAACTTACAAAAAACTATGGAAAATCACCATTTTGTAGCTGGGTAAATCCACTATTTCTATGGCAATTTTCAATAGCTATGTTAGTTTAGCAGAGGGTAAAAGTGACGTTTTGAGAAAATCATCTACACATCTGGGAGTTTCGCCATCGCGTTGATGACCGGAGGACAAATGAGCTGAAAAAGTCTACGGCCCAAAAGTTGATGCTGCCTATACCATAGGGATGGGTAAGCCTGATATTTCGGTGAAGGCCAAAGTAGCCAGTAACTTGATGTTCATCCACAAAAGAAAGTCTGCATATATATACATATATATACTTATTTATACATATATATATATATACATAGATATAGACACACACACACACACACATACATACATAACATAACATAACATAACATAACATACATACATTACATACATAACATTACATTACATTACATTGCATTGCATTACATTACATTACATTACATTACATACATACTTACATACATACATACATGCATACATAGTGTATATATATGTATATATATATAGATATGTGTGTGTGGGCAATGAATGGGTTTGACCCGCGGGCAATGAATATATGCGGTGCCCAAAATCGCCCCGGCGTTTTTGATGTGTTTGTCCCATCCCCATCGGTCCCCATCGGTCCTCATCGGTCCCTGTCCCATAAGATATCCACTCTTGGTGAATACACTCCGGTCTAACAGTCTAACACTTTGCGAACTGGAAAATCACCATTTCTTATAGGTAAATCATGGTAAATCATCGAACTAAAAAAAGGCCATCCATAGTTAGTTAGCTATACTAGTTCAATGACCTATCAGCAGAGGGTATTAAACCATATGGAACCAACCATGTCATATCAATCTCATTAAATATCGCATCAACATCCATTGACACCCATGAAATTCCCATTTCAGTCCTTATATATCGCAATGAAATCATCATGAAATCAGCATTAATGTGGGTAAAACGGTAAAACGATGTCATTTTTACCACCCATGACTGGGAATGGTAAACAGCCATAGCACCTATATATTTATGGCGATGTTTACGACATTGTTTTATGACATTGTTTTACCCAAATTCAATGCCATTAGAACAATGGCCATTTCAGGAACCTAAATTGGAGGTACCTACCATATATAAGGCCTATATTTTTTAGGCCAATGTAAGGGAATATCCCAGCAAAATATGGCCAAAAATATGGTACTAACGTCCATTTTTAGGATCCTGGAGATCTCCCATTGATTATTATGGACCAATGATTAACCATCATTAACCACTATTAACCATTATTAACCATTAGTAATCACCATTTTCCTATGGTTTTCCTCTGGTTTTCCCATTAAAACCACCATTTTCCGATGGTTTTCCTATGGTTTTCCCTATGGGAATTCAATGCGATTTGTTCAAAATTAGTAACCATTAACCAACCATTTTTCCCATTTTTCCCATGAAATCACCAAGAGACGTTCGTGCCCTGAGGTGATGCCACGTAGGGCGCCGGTGGCATCCAACGACGCGGCCTCGAAGATGGACCTCACCTCCGACCCGGTTTTTGGGGGGGAACATGGGAAAATGGAGATTTTCCATAGAAATAGTGGATTTACCTATTGAAAATGGTGATTTTCCATCGGAAACTCCGGCCGGGATGCTGAGTTCTGCTGAAACATCCACCCAGATCTCATCCCAGACACCATGCCATTGGCCAAGTCATTACCCTCATAGGAAAACCATAGGAAAACCCATGGTAAAACCACAGTCATATGGGGGATCCCAAATAAAATGGTTGGTTTATTTCATGGAAAATCCCATCTAGAAATGGATGATGGCTGGGGGTACCCTCTGGTTATGACTAACCCATAGGAAAATGGAGGTTTATAGCTGGGAAAACCAGTAGGAAAACCATAGGAAAATGGAGGTTATACCCTCTGGTTATGGTGATTTTCCATAGTTATGTTAGTTTACCAGAGGGTATGTCAAAATGGTGAATCCACTTGATCTATGGATAATAGCTAAAGGGTTCATATATGGATAATCTATGGTTAGTGGTTAATAGTTACCCAACCTGGTTATGACTAACATAGCCATGGTATAGATGGCCCATAGAAATGGAGGATTTTCCCATTAAAACTTCCATGTATGGTTGGGATTTTCCATGGCGATGTTAGTCATAACCAGATGGCATATGGTTTAGTATGATTTAATATGGCAGAAATCATGGTTTAATCAATGGTTAATCAATGGTGCTTTGGTCTGGTGGAAAATAGGGATATCAATAGTGATATCGGTGAGATGTATTCTATATATATATGTCATATGTTCAAAAATATGTGTGTGTGTGGCTGATGGGATCATAATGGATATACCCTCTGGTGATCAAGCATGGCAAGCTGGAAAATGTCCTATGAATGGAAGTTTCCGCAGCTGGGTTTGCATCAACTATACTATAAATCGTGTTTTTCCAGCAAGCCATGTTTGATTATCGGAGGGTATAGCAACCAAAGAATTTCGGATAGTTCAAAATCCCAGACTTTTTCTAGTTGCTGACATGGCTTTTCTATATGTTTCTCAATCATGTTTGAGGTCGCTGTGCATTTGATGGCTGGGTGATATCCTGGGGGTTTTGGGCTAGTTCCGAACAGCTAAAACTGGGAACTAAACCCCGGTGTATGGATTTTGGGTGGTAAAAATATCTCATTTTTAGGATGTACCCGGCCTGGTAAACATACAAAAAGCGATTGAAAATGGTGATTTATAGTGGATTTACCCATTAAAAATGAATATTTTCCATACATTGAGTAGTTATGTGGCAGTTTACCAGAGGGTAATGTTGGGAAACTTATCACAAAATACTGGGATTCCTTTTTTCCGGTGTCATCAAACATTTTTGGAAAACCGTCCTGTTGGAGTTCCATTCCCAGCTGACCTCCATTTCATTCGAGAGGCCGAGACGCAGCTAGGTAGCCATGGTTGGATTACCGCTACCAATGAAATATCCAATTATGGTGAGTGAGGTTCCCACGATGTTCCTTATAAATTGGTTGGATTATGGTGAGTGATGTTCCATTATGTTCCTTACAACATGTTGGATTCCCACAATGTTCCTTATAAATTGTATACTTTCAGGAATTATATTCCTAGTGATTGGTACTCTATAGATTAAATTGTCACATTGTCATGCTATTGTATGATCCCCCATACAGTGGAAATATCCCTATGTACTATGTACACTATAAAACCCATGCACTGCCATATACTAGCGATTTTTGCTGGAATGAATAGGGACATATTACGGGCAATACGTATATACATGTAACCCCCCTATATGTCCTATTTATTCGCACTGGGGAATGCCCTGGTTTAATCCCACTATAATGGATTTTAGTGAAACTTTGAATAAACCATACTTTAACAGTGACATAGTAGATAAGCCCTTAGAGTGCGTATTCATCTCTTTGATACACCATTCTGAAAAATGCTAACATACCAGAAATTAATTAGAAATGGTTTTCACTAACCAGAAATAAGAACATGGGATAGTTACCCTTGCTAAACATCACTCCAGGTCGCAGTGAGGTTTGTGTCACCCAGTATTGGGATCATAAACTTCATAGGCTTATAACCTCTGGTAATTTAACATTAGCTATGGAAAATCACCATTTTGTAGCTGGGTAAATCAACTATTTCTATGGCAATGTTCAATAGCTTTTTGTATGTTTACCATTTAGGGTAACTATTAACCATTAACCACAGATTATCCATAGATTATCCATAGATTATCCATGGATTAACCATATATTAGCCATATATTAACCATATATTAACCAGGCCGGGTAACCCACCCAAAACCCACCCATCACGGGCACGGCCCATGTGTCGATCCGTCCGCCTGTCGAAAGCAGCGCGCCGCCCGATGCCCCAGCGGCACCTCGAAATGCTGCAACGTGGCGCCGCAGCTCGTGCCTCGTTCAACGAGTGGCCGTCGATGTGTGCCGAAACATCGTGGATTTGTCGGATTTTGCAGCATCTTTAAGCCATAGAAAACCGGGATTCATCGTGGTTGACCCACTAAGAAACAGATTCAAAAATTGACTTATACATTCAACTTGGTGATTTTAAGGCATACAAGTTGGGATAGGCCATCCAAATGATGGTTTGTAACGATTAGAAGATGGATTTCAAGTCATGAAAGGGGGAAATGGGACATGTTGAGACATGATTTAAGCAGCATTGAGGGTGACGGACAATATAGTTTTCCACTGTTAAACCTGGGTCGGTTTAAGTGCAGGTTCTTGCTTGTACTCCAATCTTTCAGAAAGCATCCCTTGTTCAGGAGCTCAATGGCAAATCCAGTGTCAACCATCCCCACTTTCCCTCCCTATTCCGTTTGTTGTATATCTTCACTGGCAGTGCTTGCATTTCAGTAGGTTCTCTTAACAACTCCCTTCGTTTCCTTCGCCCTGGGGCCAGCAGCATCATCAACATCGTAATCCATTAATAACCATTAATGGCCATTGATAATCCATTAATAAACCACCATCATCATCATCATCAACATCGTCATCGTCATGATCATCAGTTCGTGTTTCTGCGGCAGCACCTCTTCGAGTCGATGAAAATTCATGAAATTCCAATGTGTAAGCCGCTCAAATCCCCAATGTGTGACCAAAAATCGCCAGGAAAAAATGAGCCCTATCCAATCCCACCAAAACCAGTTGGCTATAGTTGGCTAGTAAATATTCTGAAGTGGATTGAACCGGGCAAATTATAATAATTCACTCATCTGAATAGTTCCGGCCATTTGGGGATGATTCCCCGCAATCTAACCATGATTTCCAGTGAGGGAGAACAGTGAGGTCGTTATAATTTACCCAGATACATTGAAACTGCCTCAAAACTGTAGGGTTAAAGGTGTATAAGAAATATATCCCATTAGATCAATATACCATTAAATCCCAATAAATGTGGTAGTGCAATTCCCTACCTGCAATGCCCCTTGGTATCGCCGTTCGAGGGGCATTCGTTCAGCAGCAGCACCCTTGGTATCTCCTCTGAGCGATTCAACACCCGCGCCCCGAAGTCTGGCGCAAGCAGGTCGCAGAGCATGGCTCAGGGCATGCCATGGCGACCACAAGGTGCAGCGAAAGCTTGAAGATTGGATGGTTTTACCATGTTTTATACATGTTTTACGACTTCAAACTATGATTTTATGGGATATTTTTTTTGGGCAATCTGTGTTTCAATTCCTACGGGCTCATGTTCTAGTGTCGGATGAATTCTGAAGATACACCCTTTTGTCCAGTTTCAGGACACCAATGAAATTGGTGTGTCACCCTGTTGGCAATAAGCACAAAGTCAGATCATCAAAAAATTGGATAAATGTGTACACACACACGTAGATATATATATATATATATCATTGTGTCATTATATATATATACACACACACATGCTCTCTTATGTACAAATATATTGCCTCTAAGTTATCGATTTATTTTCAGCTTATATGCGTATACGTGTGCCACAGTGTGCGTTTTTTAACCCAAAAAAAAAAGGTGATCCCAAACCCCAGTACTTAGCAACCTGATAAGCTTTCCTCTACTTCGAAATAATGTGCTAAGCACTGGCACATCGCTTCCCGCAGGTCGTGACGCCGTAAGTGCACAAAGCATGACTGACTGGTCACCCTGGAGTAGACTATGGGATGCTCAAAGATATTCCCATTGAAAATAGTGAAATGCCCACAATAGTAGATAGACTATGTCAAGGTTATAGTCATCCTGGAGTAGATAGACTATTAAGCCAGACATAACCTCACTATAGCAGGATGACTATAATCTTGACATAACTTGAACGTTGAAGTCAGCAGGTCTGTGACCCAGAGAAGGCCCTCGCAAGGTCACAGGTGCGTTTTGGAAGCTTGAAAATGCCTGGTTAAGAAAGGGATTCCCATCACAATCATAATATATCACAATATATCATTGTGTTATATGATTTACCCCCATATCATAATATAGTATTGTGTTATATAATCCCCCATGGATAAAGGCTAGTATAATCCCCGAACGAATCATCAATCAACATCAATCAACAGGGTTTTTGAACCCCGAACGAATCATCACTCAACAGGGCTTTTGAACACTGTTGAGGTTGAAAGCTGGATTGATTTTTGTTGATGGACTTCAATGCAGACAGGATCCTTGCACCCCAAATTTGATGGTCATGTTTGAAAATTCCACTGTCAACCACGTTATCCAGTGGCTCACCAGACAGGTTGAGCAAAGCAGCAGCTGTTCATAGCAGGCAGCTGGGGGCATGCCAACATCCTGTGCTAGTCAAAAAGGGCTTTGGTTTGGTTCTTCAACAATAATGGCTAGTTCTGGATATTAAAAACAGAAACATCGGATCATTGATGGAGATGCTCTCAGACCACCGTCCTCGAGGAAAAATCTCCCCCCTGGGGCTGCTGCCCATCAGTCGGGAATCGGCAGACCTGACTTCGAAAGGAATCGGCTACAGGATCCTTCCACTTCCTGTCAAAAACCATTGGATTTCCAGTGCCGCAGAACTGAAAATACCACTTCGACCTGAAAAAAACATAATATAAGCTGCACAGAATCTGCCCCCAATTCATTGCTAAAGCCAATTTTTTTTAACTCCATAGCAAGCTAGCTTTCGTGACAAATCAAGAAAACAAATAAATGAATGATGAATCAGATAAATGCAAATAAAATCAAATAAAAGCATAAAGTGCGAACAACATTGTAAACGCAAATTGTGCATGCATCAAAACTAAAAAAATTAACATACCTGGAACACCATATGGGTTTGGGATGGCCTGGGCATTTTTCATGTTGCTTTCCGAGGCGGCTCTGTTGGAGCTGGTCGGAGGCACCTCCAAAACCCCCGTGGACGCTGCCATGATGCCCATATGTAAATCATATTATATATATATATATTACTTAATATTACTTAATTATTGTGTTTATTTATTTATCATAGTTATCATATTTATCTACTTCATTTGATTTCTAATGATTTCTGTAACATGACATAACATGACTGTATCTACTATGAACATCCTTCCGCTGAGTTTCCCGGGCCATCCAAGCCACTTAGCGCTTGGGCTAGGGAAGGGCGTCGCGTCATCTCGCCTTGGACGTGATTTGCGTGAGAATTCATGGAAAATTGATGGAAAATCAGGGATGATTCAAATGATTCCAACACGAAAATCTGAAGATTTTGGGGATTTAAGCAAAGATAGAGATTTTACTCATTTAAGCATCAAGTCAGCATCAAGCCGTGGATTAGAATAGGGGTTCAACGCTGGGTGTGAAGTACTTCGCACTTCCCCATCAAATGCGAACGAATCATCGAACGAATCGACCTTTTGAACTCACCCTTGACCCAGTTTTACCTAGATCTTTGGATCCCAAGAAGCCCTTATCACCCCCCACTTGGTGGTGTGCTGATCGCTAAAAACCTCACTTTTAGTGTACTTTTCGTGGGGTACTGTGATGGTTCTGACCCATCCAATCACCCCGATAAACATTAAGGTGAGGTTTCATTACATCCCTCATTATCGCCAAATGCTTCTATTTTTTTCCATCTATCCCAGCAACAGATCTCTCAAGTTTCGCCGCCCCGGCGCTTTCAGGCTCCGGTTCCGCCGGAGGATTCAAGTAGTCCCTGGCAGCAACTCGAGCGAAGGCCGAAACAAAAAAAATCGGACCGGACGTCGGAGAGATGAAGTCGAAACAAAACTGAAGAGACCACCCAATTTGATGTCCTTTTGGTAAAAATAGGGGGGCCGGTGACTGGTTCATCCCATCTATCATCATAGAAACCTGTTGTTAAAGGGGCTTCTGAAGAAACCCCTCTATTAATCAACCAATCAATGGGAAAAGGACATCTATGAGACCACCTGGCAATAGAATACGACCTTCGATTTGAGAACGAACCTCACCTGAAAATGTGATATAAAAGTCTGGCATTTCTTAGTTGCCATGTCTGTTCAGCGGCAGCTGTATGTTTAGATTTGCATGGTCGGGGTGAATTTACCTGTTTGCTGCTGATATGTGAATTAGATGTTGCTTGATACCCGCTACGAATGTGTCACTCTTTTCGATGGACCATTGCAATAGGCAATGCTACACTACAACTCTTTTCTAAACATATTGCTGTTTCAAATGAATACTGCATAGACTAGGAAAACTTTCTTATTACTCTGCAAAAAGTGACGTTACGCTACTACACTTGTTTAAGAATACAACACTACTTCAAATGAGTCCTGCATCCATTCAAGGACTCTAATTGAAGACAATGTTTGTTCATAGTACTACTGCATCCATTGAAGCATGCTATAGCAAAGAAATAGTTAAATAGTAGATCCTTTAAAAAGGATGCCCCAGAATTCTTATGCAATATGTCCGATACACTTTCAACAGAGTACTGCATCCATTCAAGAACTTTCTTTACAGGTTCTTGACTCTTTCAAAGTACTGTTCTCAAAGGAATACCCCACCATTTCGCATGTCAGTGTCAGCTCTTCAGTTTAAGTCGGGTCTTTGGTCGGCACACGGCCTGGCGGATGGGCCTTGCAAAGAAAAAACATTTCTGCACAGAGCTGTTGTTGCTTTCCTTTGTTGGGTCCCAACAGCTGGTGAAAGTCTTAACCTCTTTTTTGCTGCTTCTGAAAATCATTGTTTTCTCTGAAACCCCACAGGCTCCGATTTACAGAGAGTCTGTGAGAATAGCCTCTCTGAAAGTATTGGGTGTTAATTTTCTCAAATGATGTATATAATTTGCTATATGGCACCCCCTTTTAACCCAACCATGTAGACAATAATGTAAAAAAGCTAGGTTTTGAGGGGGGGTGCCATATCTTCAGCCAGGATTCTTCCATAATTCCAGGTTTTCAAGTTTGGGGCACGTTTCGGGTATGTAATGAGTATCTAATGAGTTCTATCAAACAATGCCATAAACCACTCATTTAGGAATGGGTTGTACCATCTATAAAAATGGTGATGACTGGGGGATGGTGCAAGTGGCATTGGTTTACCCATCGCATTTTCACATTTGCATCGTCCCAGATGTCCCAGTGGACAACTCCCCAGGTGCTGCCCGACCGCTCCTGGCCAGTTCTTCTAGGCTTACCTCCGCGCCACCGTCCTGACGAATCCCCTCCCAATCACCAGAAATGGGTGAGAAATGTTCCTCCATTGGAGGTGAGTTTTTCGAGCTTCCCCCATTATTTTTATGTCTGAAAATGGTTCTGTGGGGGAGAACAATGGGATGAGAATAATTGTCAAACTCAGGTTATTTTGATGCGTTCATAGGAGTGGAATGATTGAACGACTCGCAAGTTCTTTGTTTGTCAAAATGTTTTTTCAAGTGTAATCTTTGAGTCTGAGTGATGGACTAATGATTGAAAGGGACTAATACCAGGTTACTAAGTTATTCATACGTCTTGTCTCGAGTGAATATCATCACTATCACGATTGAGAGGGTCAGAATGTTGGAGAGAAGGTGGGCCCCGTTTTTTACATGAAGCAGCCAACCAATCAATAATATAACTTGAGAAGGGGGAACACGAAAGGCAGTTGTGTCGCAGGTGACGCAGGTGAGTGATGAGAATAAGATGGCAGGGTGGGTGGTCGATGCTCTGTGCTGCTGATGATGATGATGATGATGATGACGACGATGTTGATGGTGATGGTGATGATGATGATGATGATGACGATGATGACGATGATGACGATGATGACGATGACGATGACGATGACGATGACGATGACGATGACGATGACGATGACGATGACGATGACGATGATGATGATGATGATGATGATGATGTTGAGCCATTCAGAAAATCATCCGCGGTCCAAATGGAAGGAAGGTACCATATGATCTGGGGAGGGGAGGGGGGGGAGAGGGGAGGGGGGGAGGGCTTTCTCCTGGTCGTTCAGGGATAAGGGGTCCAGCCCACCCCTTTGCTTCGCAAAGTAAAACTCAAGGTAGCCCGTTGGGAGGCTACCTTTCGTGATATATATGTATAGTATTATATATATATATATATAGTATATATACATGTATATACTCTAGAC